ATGATGTTTCCACGGACCTCAACATGTGTTTAATCATTTCAAAAAGACCTCAAAACACAAACAAACAAAAACAGTAAGAAAAGAGAGAGAGACGATCAATACGTCACATTTCAAAGTCTCTGGCACATTAAAGATTTGCTGAAACAAACAAATTACAGATCTCCACAAACAGAGCAGGAATACCTCCACAACTGAGCAGCAGAGATGGAACCCAACACTGACCATAATTATGTATTTTTATGCAGTTCTTCGCAGAATTTTTTAAAACATTGTTCAACACAAGCACACACACACGACAACCATGATGGCCTTCCAGTAAGTCTAACGTTATTGTTACGTTTTTAGTTTCTGTTGTCATCCACAGGGCTCGGATTAAAACCCAGGAGAAACAGGAAATGTGTGTGTGTGCGTGAATGCGTGCTCGTGTTTCTGTGTGTGTGTGTTACTGTGTGTTCCAAGATGTTTCTTTCTATGTTTCTGGCAATTAGATGAAGAAATGTTTGGTAGCTGTTAGCTCACCCCAGACTACGCTGTCACTTGACCTGTTAGACTACTTGCTGGGATGTGCTTTTTCCAGACATTGCTAAATACTTACGGTATCTGTTTCCACAGCGTTTAGGCCTGGTAACCCAAGAATGTGGCCCATCGCTAAGGTACATTGTTTCTGAGGGCAAGGAGTAGTTATACTGAAGAACAGGAATTCAGATATAGACCATGGTTAATTGCCCGTGTGTGAGATGGAGAGAGAGGGAGAGAGAGAGAGAGAGAGAGAGAGAGAGAGAGAGAGAGAGAGAGAGAGAGAGAGAGAGAGAGAGAGAGAGAGAGAGAGAGAAAGAGAGAGAGTGTGTGTGCATGTGTGTGATGATGAATGGAGATGTGGTGTGTGTGCACGCACGCGTGCATGCCTGTGTTCTGTGACAAATAAACATGTCACCACAATTGTCCTCACAATAACCGAAACAAGGATACATGTGTCCCTTTGATCCAAAGGATCCCACAAAGTGACAGTGACAACACAGTGTTCACAGACAGTAGAGCTGTAAAAGTCATCCCAATTTGATTTGAAAACTTCACCCACAACAGAAGCAACATGCCTCAATGCTCGCTCTGTCTTTCATTAGCGACTGTTGGAACTCTTTACAGTTATTTTGTTTGTTTGTTCTCATTTCCTGTATCCACTAATGTAGTACTCTCAGTTCAATTCCATGCATGACATATTCCCCATTAGAACCCAAGTAGTATATTACATTCAGTTCCTCCCCCTCCTAAATGTTAATAAATCCTGATGCTTCTCAATACCTCCGCTTCTCTGTCTTTCAACCCCAGTTCCCATAGTAATAAGGGGGATAAATGTTGCCAATTACTGGCACTCTTGAATGGGGGCAAAACAACTGGTCAAGTTTAAGTCACCGTTGTGTTCAGGAAAGCAATTTGTGTGTTGGGTTGATTGCTTGGTGATAAAACTGTTGCGGAGACACAATGTGTGGCTGTTGTTGGTTATGGCGGGCCGGGGTCGCGATCTCTATTCAGAGGGCTGTAGAACTGACAGGACACCATACGACAGGATGATGATTAAGGCCTTTTCATTACAACTGGCAGATATAGGCCTAGAAGTGAGACGTTTGACATTTTAAAAACTTTTAAATAATGCCCCAGGTAATTGGAGAGTAAGGGACTTCATACACCTCACTGAAGTGAGAGAGACTTCTGTAATGAGAAGTGATTTATTGAGGTAAACTGTACAGCAAATAGTTAAGTGATAATGCCCAAGAAGCCGTGTTTGGAGGATATATCGGCACGGGTGTTGTTCGTCAAGGGCCGGCAAACCGTTAGCACTTTTATACAACGGGTTACCAACATATTAAAATAATGATTGCCATATTTTCATTAAAAACTTTATTTTGATGAATGTATTCATACTATTTCATCCTTCCACAAGATATAGTTCCGCAATAACGTATCTTTTTTTTCCCGGTGTGCGTGGAGGTGACGCTTACCCCTCAAGAATGTGGTTTTCTTCCTTTTGCTGTACTCTGATTTCCCCTCGGTCGCCTTACTTCACTCACACACTCCGGGAATCTGGAAAACACCAGCGGGGAATGAGAGGAATTTTGGCTTTTCGTTTTTTTCCCCTTTCTTTTTCTTCCTTTCTCCCAGCTCTTTATTTGGAAGTGGCTGCGCTTGCTGGGCTCTTGAGTTTTCCTTTGTTTCTGAAAGCCGACCAACAATAACAACATCTCATAAACAATGGGGCTTGTTGATTGGGGGGTTGAGAGGGAGGGTGAGTGTTAGGCCTTGGCACTGGGTTTTGTTGGCAGAACGCCCCAACTGAAAGTTTTAGACGTAGGCTACATTGTAGTGTAGACTGGACTGCACCATCTCTTTAGGGAGGTAATCAAATCCCATCATTTCTCCAGACCCCCTCTTTTTATTTCTCAAAGACTCTGTAGGGACTGTTATGGGTCCTGCATTCTGATGGGAAAGTTGGGGTCAGTCACAGTGAAAACTCACAAGGCAAAGCCAAACATTATTTGGACATTTTTTGGATCAGTGTCTTTGTTAGATCGAATGGGCCATGATGCTTTTGTGCATGAGATATCTGAGATATATCTCACTAATCTCATTCTCACACAATTTCCAGTCGTGAAGCAAAAGTATCAAATTCCGCAAACTGGGCCTTCTACCAACTACGGAATGGTTGAGTGTGTGAGAGTTTGAAGTGGGAGGAGGTTTGAAAGATCTGCAGGTGTTCAAGTGTGGGTGCATTCCTGTTGTCGTGGATACAGGCCTTGCCTCTAGCAGCACTTTTGTCTGGTTGTGCTTGGCTCAAGTTTCACTTTATCATTTGCCTTTTAGTTGGTTCTAAAGCATGTGCGCCTCTGTCTAAAACATAGTGCATGTGAAGTGGACATCGTAAATACAAATGTATTGAAAAATATAAACTGGGTGGTTCTCTGAATGCTGATTGGCTGACAGCCATGGTATATCAGACCGTATTTCACGGGTATGACAAATAATTCGTTTTTACTGCTATTATTACATTGGTAACCAGTTTATAATAGCAATAAGGCACCTCGGGCGTTTGTGATATATGGCCAATATACCACGGCTAAGGGCTGTATCCAGGCACTCCGAGTTGCGTCGTGCATAAGAACAGCCCTTAGCCGTGGTATATTGGCCAAATACCACAACTCCTCGGGCCTTATTGCTTAAATATACCCTGAAGAAGAAAAAATGAATTGGTTTTCTTTGAAAGCAATAAATCTAGGATATAGACCGAGTGGCGCAGTGGTCTAAGGCACTGCATCGCAGTGCTAGCTGTGCCACTAGAGATCCTGGTTAGAATCCAGGCTCTGTCGTAGCCGGCCGCGACCGGGAGACCCATGCGACGGCGCACAATTGGCCCAGCGTCGTCCAGGGTAGGGGAGGGAATGGCCGGCAGGGATGTAGCTCAGTAGGTAGTGGGTTCGATTCCCACGGGGGGCCAGTATGAAAAAAATTAAATAATAATAATAATAATGAATGCACTCACTAACTGTAAGTCGCTCTGGATAAGAGCGTCTGCTAAATGACTAAAATGTAAATGTAAATGAGCACATAATGTACAAACATGCCTCTTTGCCACTGTCTGAGCAAATAGTGACACATTGTGGTCATAATGTGTATCACATCCAATGCACTACAAGTAGCAATTTAAGTGGCCAATTTAATTCCCAAATACATAGGCCCAAACATTTCCAAAAACATAAAGAAAAAACCCATTAGTCTTTAAACTTTATTCATAGGATAAAGTGGCAAGCATCCATCCACCACACCTAAGCATCCAGGTACACGTAGCATTCACTCACACAAACACACTCCAATTGGGATTCAGCATCATCTTCAGTGGACAGTCTTCATCAGCATAGTGTCTTCTTTTCCATACCAGGGACAGTTGTCTCACACATCACTTTGGCTTGTAGGGATCAGACCATACTTTGACACCTGAAAATACACCAAATTATAGCTGATTTATATACGGTTAGTGAAAAACTCAAGTCTGCTGACAGGACAGGGGATGCAACCATACACATCTTCATAATGGCAAAGAAGAAGAAGAACCACTGTAACATTCAGCTGGTATTTTGAATTGATTTGAAGCATGAGAGAAACTAGTAGGCTACTTACCCACCGGTTGCACGTCTGCTTGATTGATTCCTGCTCGGTTTGCTCTCTGGACTTGATCTGCAGAGAAGTGAGTGGGGTTTTCAATAGTGTTGCGGGGGCCTGGGGCAGGTTTGAACCAGGATCCTTATAGGCAAGGCAAGGGCACTACCACAGGCATAGACCACTGGTGCCATCAAGTTCCAGACCCCTGCTTGGCAGAACTTGTAGTCTGCTCACAATTGTACAGCATTGAAATAACTGTCTATATTTAAAAACAGAAAACTGTGATACTGAGACCATGTAGCTAATGCATGGGTTTTTGGAACACACGGCTACTGATAAATGGTCAATGCAATGCTTACAGTCCGGCTGGCCAGGGCAACATTGTATCCACATGAGGATACTCGAAACTAGCAGCTATAAAAACGTAGCCTAACAAGACTTCCTAGCTAGCTTGTCGTTGTGTAACAGACATGGATGCGCTCTTGTGACAGGGTCGACTAGTACATTACTCGAGTAACGTTAGCTACTTACTGTAGTCAGCTGTGTGCGTGAGTGGATGGAAAAATATAGGGTAAAATGCAGCAGCAACTGCTGTTATAAATCCTCCAAATATTAACGTGATTCTTCTGTTTCTTGACATCTTTGTTGCGCATTCACCTCCAAATCAGTATGTGTGGTTCCTGAATGTCTTCCGGGGTAAAGTTGACCAGAGAAACGTTGTTCACGATCACGAAGTTCTGCACTGTTTAAAATGGTTGGTTTTAATTTGCGGCTTCACATTATGTTTTACCTCTGTTAACACCGTAGATTAAGGGGCGGACTGCCCGCATGATTGTCACATGCTGCAGAACCATAATAAGGAAGTGGGCTAGCATGAAATCGTAGAACCGCTCATGTTTTGACAGAGATGGGGGTTTTAACTTTCGCACTATTTTTATTTTTCACGGTTTCCTGTGCAGAGAGAAATGGACCAATTCAGACGTTTGTTATACCGCACAGTCACATGGATGTTGGCTGGGTGTATACTATTCAGGTTTGTTGCTAGCTTACCTAGCTAACTCCTGTACCATTGTATTATATTGGTCTCTTGGACGTTAGAACTAGGGACATTTTATTTTGGGAGGTGCAAGAATGTCTCCAATATCACAAAATGAAATGTCAGTCCAAATATAGCAACAACTCTATACTGTCAATGTTCACAGTACACTGTATTGAACTTGGTGTACTTCTGTCTCTTGTATCTTCAAACAGGAGAGCATGCATGCCTACGCAGCGAACGTGTATTCCAGTGTGACAGAGGCGCTGACACAGAACAAACAGCGCAAGTTCATCGCAGTGGAGCAGGAATTCTTTCGGCTGTGGTGGGATTCTGTGGCTACAGACAAGCACAAGAAACAGGTAACATACTATAGAATAGTCTTATACAACCCCCCCCTCTTATCTTTGTTTGACTTTGTGTTGATTCGCCTATCTCCCTCCCCCCCAGGTGCGACAGCTACTGAAGGAGAGTCGACTTGAGTTCATCATCGGGGGACAGGTGATGCATGATGAAGCTGTGACCGATCTAGATGATGAGGTACTGCAGCTGACGGGTAAAAGTGGTTTCATACTTGATGTAGAACATTTGTTTTGTTGGTTGCTTTAAACACTCATGGACTCTCTCTCTCTTCTCTCTCTCTCACTCACACACACACACACACACACACACACACACACACTGTCATTACAGAGGGCCATGGGTTCCTGTACGAGACGTTTGGGGTGCGTCCCCGGTTCTCGTGGCACGTGGACCCGTTTGGAGCCTCCGCCACCACCCCTGTCCTCTTTGCCCTGGCTGGGTTCCATGCCCACCTCATCTCGCGTATCGACTATGACCTCAAAGATGACATGCAGAAGAGCAAGGTATGGTAGTCACCATAGTTTCAGCTACAGCCTACCAGGCAGGTTACCATCTCTATTGAGCAGTCTTGACCATGATCAGTGACTTATAAGCAGTTAACTGGTTTAAAGAGGTTTGACTTAATAATATATAATATATGCCATTTAGCAGACACTTTTATCCAAAGCGATTTACAGTCATGCACACATTTTACGTACAGGTGGTCCCGGGAATCGAACTCACTATCCTGGTGTTGCAAGCACCATGCTCTACCAACTGTGCTACAGTAATGTTTACACTATATTTACAATAACTTATTGTCATGGTCTTTATGTCTGGAGCAGAAACTCCAGTTTGTTTGGAGAGGCTCCCCCTCCTTGAAAGAGCAGCAAGAGATCTTCACTCACACCATGGACCAGTTCAGCTACTGTACTCCATCTTACCTGCCTTTCTCTAACAGGTCTCCTACATATATATCCTTTCCCCTCTCACCATTTTCCATGTCATAACTCTCCTAGCATATCCTACTCTCTTACAATTACCCCTACAGGCTGGTTTGTAGAGTACAGTCGTGGTCAAACGTTTTGAGAATGACACAAATATAAATTTTCACAAAGTCTGCTGCCTCAGTTTTTATGATGGCAATTTGCATATACTCCAGAATGTTATGAAGTGATCAGATGAATTGCAATTAATTGCAAAGTCCCTCTGCCATGAAAATGAACTTAATCCCCAAAAAACATTTCCACTGCATTTCAGCCCTGCCACAAAAGGACCAGCTGACATCATGTCAGTGATTCTCTCGTTAACACAGGTGAGAGTGTTGACGAGGACAAGGCTGGAGATCACTCTGTCATGCTGATTGAGTTAGAATAACAGACTGGAATCTTTAAAAGGAGGGTGGTGCTTGAAATCATTGTTCTTCCTCTGTTAACCATGGTTACCTGAAAGGAAACACGTGCCATCATCATTGCTTTGCACAAAAAGGGCTTCACAGGCAAGGATATTGCTGCTAGTAAGATTGCACCTAAATCAACCATTTATCGGATCATCAAGAACTTCAAGGAGAGAGGTTCAATTGTTGTGAAGAAGGCTTCAGGGCGCCCAAGAAAGTCCAGCAAGCGCCAGGACCGTCTCCTAAAGTTGATTCAGCTGTGGGATCGGGGCACCACCAGTGCAGAGCTTGCTCAGGAATGGCAGCAGGCAGGTGTGAGTGCATCTGCACGCACAGTGAGGCAAATACTTTTGGAGGATGGCCTGGTGTCAAGAAGGGCAGCGAGGAAGCCACTTCTCTCCAGGAAAAACATCAGGGACAGACTGATATTCTGCAAAAGGTACAGGGATTGGACTGCTGAGGACTGGGGTAAAGTCATTTTCTCTGATGAATCCCCTTTCCGATTGTTTGGGGCATCCGGAAAAAAGCTTGTCCGGAGAAGACAAGGTGCGCGCTACCATCAGTCCTGTGTCATGCCAACAGTAAAGCATCCTGAGACCATTCATGTGTGGGGTTGCTTCTCAGCCAAGGGAGTGGGCTCACTCACAATTTTGCCTAAGAACACAGCCATGAATAAAGAATGGTACCAACACATCCTCAGAGATCAACTTCTCCCAACCATCCAAGAACAGTTTGGTGACGAACAATGCCTTTTCCAGCATGATGAAGCACCTTGCCATAAGGCAAAAGTGATAACTAAGTGGCTCGGGGAACAAAACATCGACATTTTGGGTCCATGGCCAGGAAACTCCCCAGACCTTAATCCCATTGAGAACTTGAGGTCAATCCTCAAGAGGCAGGTGGACAAACAAAAACCCCACAAATTCTGACAAACTCAGCATTGATTATGCAAGAATGGGCTGCCATCAGTCAGGATGTGGCCCAGAAGTTAATTGACAGCATGCCAGGGTGGATTGCAGAGATCTTGAAAAAGAAGGGTCAACACTGACTCTTTGCATAAACTTAATGTAATTGTCAATAAAAGCCTTTGACACTTATGGAATGCTTGTAATTATACTTCAGTATACCATAGTAACATCTGACAAAAATATCTAAAAACACTGAAGCAGCAAACTTTGAAGACCAATACTTGTGTCATTCTCAAAACTTTTGACCACGGCTATAGATCACCAAAAATCTCAATTTGATCAATTTTGCCTATCACCATAGGCTCTTAATAGATTACAAGCACATGTTTGTCTCAGTGAAATTAATCAGTTGTTCTCTCTCAGCTCTGGTTTCTATTGGAATGGCGTGGCCCTGTTCCCTGACCCCCCTAAAAATGGCATCTACCCCAACATGAGCCTGCCTGTCACCAAAGAGACGCTGTACTCCTATGCCAAGACCATGGTGCAGAACATCCAGCAGAGGGCAGCGTGGTTCAGGACAAACCATGTCCTCTGGCCCTGGGTGAGTCAACATAGCCGCAGCCATAGATATACAGAGATCAGGAAAGTCGTTAATTAGTGTTCTTTCTAGTAACTTCACCATTTATCAATATATGTTTCTCCTGTTATTTCACTCCATAGGGTTGTGACAAGCAGTTCTACAACTCCTCTGTGCAGTTTGCCAACATGGATCCCTTAGTGGAATACATCAACCAGAACAGCAAGGAGTTTGGAGTGACAGTCCAGTACGCCACTCTCAGCGAGTACTTCCAGGCTGTCCACCAATCAAATCTCACCTGGGATATGAGGGGAAGTGAGGACTTCCTTCCTTACTCCACTGGTGGGTTTTTCGATAAATGTTCTTATCTATTATCTGTTTCAAACATATAAATGGAATATGAATTAAACTTGTATAATAAAAATGTATATATCAATGGTTCCAATGACCAAGAGTTGGCACACTCAAAACATGTAGGAGTAAAAACTGCTATGAAGCCAAGGGCCGGAAAAATGCTTTTCTCACATAATTCCAATCTGGTTCTTGGAGTTCTAAAAAGGAACATTTTGTCTCTCCAGAACCTTTCCAGGCATGGACTGGGTTCTATGCCTCCCGGAATGTTCTGAAGGGGATAGCCAGGAGAGCTAGTTCGCAGCTGCATGCTGCAGAGACTCTATTCACCCGGTACCGGGTCAGCTACCCAGATGGACCGGTCCCTAAAGAAGAGGCCCTGAAGAAACTGAAGGCCCTCCGCTGGGCTGTCTCTGAGGTGCCTGATCAAAATACTCACTGATTCATTGTGTATTTATCTGTATTAATAGTACCTATCATTGTAACCCAGTGATTAAACATTCTCATATCCCATTTCTGACACACACATTTAGAAATAAAAGACCCACAAAATGAATTATTTGAAATAGATAAGGACTGTTTTCATCTTGTTATCCCTCTGTTTTATCTGCAGGTGCAGCACCATGACGGGATCACAGGGACAGAGTCTCCCAAGGTGGCTGACATGTACATAGAGCACCTGACCCAGGCTATGATGGGAGTAGAGGAACTCCTGGCTGCCCTCTTCCTCCTACCCCAGGCCCTGGGCACCGCTAGCAACTCTGAAGCCTTCTATAGACAAGACTCTCAGAGCAAGGGTAAAGTCATGTATTTGAAAAAGAATCATTAATAATTGAAAAATGCATCCTTCCTTCCTTTGACATGATCTCAGAGGAGTGGATGTGTTAAAGTAGTAGGATGGGAAGCGTGTTTTCACTTATCCAATCGCACACTACAGATCAGTGATTACACATCAAGGAAGGGGGTACAAAAGGATGTATTCTGACAAGGCCCAAGGCTCCGCTTGGTCCAAGGCATAATCTTATAACTATCTTCATCAACTACAACATGGGTATTTTTTAAAATATAAATCAATGATAATTTGATAATAAGTGTAATTGCAGGCTCCCATCAGGACCAGGAACAGCACATCATTGTATACAACCCCCTGGCATGGAACACCACCACCATCATCAACGTCACGGGAACCTTCCCCATGGCAACGGTGTTTGACGACCAAGGACAGGCCGTGCCTGCGCAGGTAGTGTGGAAATACATGGTTGATTTATCCAGCTAAATATGTTGTAGGACAATGGGTCGCCCTTATATTACATAAAAGCCATGTGTATATCTGTAGTTCCATTGACGACATACCTTCTAAACAAACCCAGTTTTCAGCTAATCATGATTGTGTTCATTGGGCATGCAGCGAAAAACAGTTCGCAACGGAGTCCAGGTATTCCCTCCCTGTTTGTCTGTTGTCTTCTGTTTCGTGTCCAATGAACACGGCCCGCATCTCTCTGCTCCCAACAGACCCAGAGTTCAGCTGACTCCAACAAGACCTATGACCTGTTCATCGTGGTGGACCTTGGGGGTCTCCAACACAGGAAGTACCTCATCAAGTTCTCAGAGAAGCCGGGTGAAGAGGGCCTCGTGACCCACCATGCCTGGGTCGTGTCGTTCAATAGACGAAATGTTTCACAGTGGTTGAAGACAGGAAGGAGACTCTTACCGGTTCTGAATGAATGTTATAAGATCATGTTGGACCAGGATACTAACCTACTGCATAGCATCACCGACAGGTAGTTATATTCAACATTCACATCAGGGTCACATTAAACAGGCGAACGTTGTGGAACGTTGCAGATAGAAATGTAGTTAATAGAGCTGACGTGATTTCTTCTACATGTCAGAGAAGCATGTTTTATTTTACTGAACGTTCCACAACGTTTTCCTATTGAACGCAGCCCAGGCGTTACGTCAACAATGCCCCCTGTGAACTTTCTGTGACCCTGACAGGCATGAGAAGAGAACGGTGAGAATGAGTCAGGATTTCTGGGAGTACCAGGTCAATGGGAATGTCAGCGCAGGGCCCATCTCTGATAACTACATCTTCAGTGCTAACGGCTCTGCAGTGAGGGCATACAAGGCCGTCAAGATGGAGATTGTCCCTGGGAAGATCATCACTGAGATCAGACAGTACTTCTACAGGTGGGAATGTCAACAACTCCTTTCTGTCAGTCTTTGGTTTCCATGTACCCTCCTTCCCTAGCTGCTACAGTGAGGGGAAAAAGTATTTGATCCCCTGCTGATTTTGTACGTTTGCCCACTGACAAAGAAATGATCAGTCTATAATTTTAATGGTAGGTTTATTTGAACAGTGAGAGACAGAATAACAACAACAAAATCCAGAAAAACGCATGTCAAAAATGTTATAAATTTATTTGCATTTTAATGAGAGAAATAAGTATTTGACCCCCTCTCAATCAGAAAGATTTCTGGCTCCCAGGTGTCTTTTATACAGGTAACGAGCTGAGATTAGGAGCTCTTAAAGGGAGTGCTCCTAATCTCAGTTTGTTACCTGTATAAAAGACACCTGTCCACAGAAGCAATCAATCAATCAGATTCCAAACTCTCCACCATGGCCAAGACCAAAGAGCTCTCCAAGGATGTCAAGGACAAGATTGTAGACCTACACAAGGCTGGAATGGGCTACAAGACCATCGCCAAGCAGCTTGGTGAGAAGGTGACAACAGTTGGTGCGATTATTCGCAAATGGAAGAAACACAAAATAACTGTCAATCTCCCTTGGCCTGGGGCTCCATGCAAGATCTCACCTCGTGGAGTTGCAATGATCATGAGAATGGTGAGGAATCAGCCCAGAACTACACGGGAGGATCTTGTCAATGATCTCAAGGCAGCTGGGACCATAGTCACCAAGAAAACAATTGGTAACACACTACGCCGTGAAGGACTGAAATCCTGCAGCGCCCGCAAGGTCCCCCTGCTCAAAAAAGCATATATACATGCCCGTCTGAAGTTTGCCAATGAACATCTGAATGATTCAGAGGTGAACTGGGTGAAAGTGTTGTGGTCAGATGAGACCAAAATGGAGCTCTTTGGCATCAACTCAACTCGCCGTGTTTGGAGGAGGAGGAATGCTGCCTATGACCCCAAGAACACCATCCCCACCGTCAAACATGGAGGTGGAAACATTATGCTTTGGGGGTGTTTTTCTGCTAAGGGGACAGTACAACTTCACCGCATCAAAGGGACGATGGACGGGGCCATGTACCGTCAAATCTTGGGTGAGAACCTCCTTCCCTCACCCAGGGCATTGAAAATGGGTCGTGGATGGGTATTCCAGCATGACAATGACCCAAAACACACGGCCAAGGCAACAAAGGAGTGGCTCAAGAAGAAGCACATTAAGGTCCTGGAGTGGCCTAGCCAGTCTCCAGACCTTTAATCCCATAGAAAATCTATGGAGGGAGCTGAAGGTTCGAGTTGCCAAACGTCAGCCTCGAAACCTTAATGACTTGGAGAAGATCTGCAAAGAGGAGTGGGACAAAATCCCTCCTGAGATGTGTGCAAACCTGGTGGCCAACTACAAGAAACGTCTGACCTCTGTGATTGCCAACAAGGGTTTTGCCACCAAGTACTAAGTCATGTTTTGCAGAGGGGTCAAATACTTATTTCCCTCATTAAAATGCTAATACATTTATAACATTTTTGACATGTGTTTTTCTGGATTTTTTTGTTGTTATTCTGTCTCTCACTGTTCAAATAAACCTACCATTAAATTTATAGACTGATCATTTCTTTGTCAGTGGGCAAACGTACAAAATCAGCAGGGGATCAAATACTTTTTTCCCTCACTGTATCTATTTTATCCTCCCTAGATCCTCTCTCTCTTTCTCGCGCGCACTCACTCACTCACTCACTCACTCACTCAAACAAGGCTACATCTTAGTAAGGTGCATGTCTAATGTTCGGTGGCTCACATTAACAGTGAGTTCTGTCCGCAGGGAGGAAGCGGATGAGGACTACACCTACTCGGTCACCACCAGAGTACCACAGGGTTTCCCCAGGGGCAGGCTGTGTTTCAGGCTGGAGCAGAGCTACTCGCTGGGCCCCCTGGTGGTCAACACCGAGGCTGTCCTCAGGACCAGGACCAGCCTGAAGAACAACAGGACTCTGTTCACTGACGACAATGGGTACCAGATGATGAAGAGGCCTTCCAGGACGTTCGTCCATAATAATGTTGCCAGAGTGAGTGGGTTGTATTTAAGGACTGTTTGGTGTTGATGGTTAAATGTACTCTGAACTTCCACAGTACCTTGCCAGCCAGAGGAAGATGGCCTACACTTTATGAGCCTGGTTCACCTCAAGATGTTTTCCTACTCAGGGAGTTTGGGTGTTGGTCTCCTCAGCTTTCCCTTTGGTGAATCAGGCCTGGGTTACAGTTCAGGACTTTGTGACAATTGCTTGTGTTTCTTCCTGTGTCTGTGTACTGCAGAACTATTACCCCATGGTTCGAACGGCCTACATTGAAGATGACTCTAGCAGACTGTTCCTCCTCAGTGAGAGAGCTCATGGTGCCTCCAGCCAGAGGGAGGGAGAGCTGGAGGTGAGTGTGTGTTTAGGTATGAGACACACACACACACACACACACACACACACACACACACAACCCCCTGTATTTGTCCCAGGTGATGCTCCACCGACGTCTGTGGAACAACCAGGAGTGGAACCTGGGTTATAACCTGACCCTGAACGACAGCTCGGTGGTGAGGCCTGTCCTGTGGATGACACTGAGCTCCCTGACTGCTAACTCCTCTCTCTACCAGAGGGAGGCGATAGAGCTGCAGCATAGACCTGTGGTCATGCCCATCGACAGGCCACGTGAGTCCACTCCTTATAGCTCTCCTATTTAACTACTCTGGCTAGGCTCGCAGGTTGACCTTTAATGTCATGAATCTTGTCCTGGAGGCAGAACTGAGCGATTTTCCGCTAGATGGTCCAGCTGCAAAGTCAAAATTGCCTATATCGTAAACATTCATGAAAACAAAATGTGCTTTTTGATCTTAATTTAAGATTAGGATTCGTTATTAGGGTTAGCAGTATGGTTAAGGTTAAGGCTAGGGTTAGGTTTAAAATCAGATTTTATGACTTTATGGCTGTGCCAGTTTGTGACCACTCTGCAGAGCTGCCTCCCAGGGCAAGATTCATGACCGTAAATACCAACCTGCTTAAAGCACGCACAGCTACTTTCCACTAAAACTTTCCCTAGAAATCCATAAAGTGTAATCCATTCTAAAAACAAATACACAATTGAGACGTTCCCAAATGGAGTCGACCACGTTTTTGCTCACCTATACTATGCATTGTCACAATGTATGGTCTCATACCTACACTGCACTGCCATTCCACCTCTCCCTCTAGAGAAGGCCTGGAGGAAGGAGCCTCGGACCAGATCTCCGCTTCGCCCCGTGGTCCTGCCTGACAACCTCCACCTGCTGACATTCAGTGTCCCGGGCTGGGTCTACAGCTCCAACCACACCCTGCACCTCCACAACATAGAGACAGGTACCCCTGGATCCACACAGCCGGACTACGATCGGGTCCTACTGAGGATCATGCATCTGTATGAGAAGGGGGAAGACCCGGTTCTCTCTCAGCCGGCTACAATTAACATGAAGGTAACAGAAAACACAGCTGGATGAGATGAATATGACACCTCTATATACACTGCGATCATATTGAGGTCAAATAAGAGTTATTTGTGTGTACTAAATGCAAAACTAAGTGAAAAAATAGATTGACATTTGGTGGTCACTACTCCATTTACACTGTTTGTTTTGAAAATCAATTTCCTGTGTAAACAGGAAGTGCTGCGGGGCATGGGAGAAGTGGGAGCGGTGGAGGAGCGCTCTCTCACAGGAACCTGGGATATCTCCGACCTCCAGAGGTGGAAGTGGAAGACTTCAGAAGACCCAGGGAGAGGTGAGAGGCTTGGGAAGCTTCAGTTCAACTTTGGTGGAGGGAAATATCGCATCTGAATAAATACCTTTTATCAAAGTTAAAAGATATAAGAGAAGTAACTATCAGTGTACCTTTTGAGATTCAGGAGCTGTCAATTTAGTTCTCAATTGATTAGGCTATAGTGTTTTGAGATTTTAACCACCTATGAAATCTGAACCATCTTTTGCGTTTACAATTCTTTGTTTTGTCTACGTCCGAGTGTTTTTTATTTGTTTGTCTGTTTCAGGGGTCAAGAGGTCAAGTATTGGTGTGAGAGGTGATTTCAATGTGACCATATCACCCAAAGAAATCAAGGACCTTCTTCATTTACTTCAAGTAGAAAGTTCCAGTTCCCCTTCAGTCTTCTGTGAAGATGGATAACTAATCTAAAGAGAGGCCTTTTGACATGTAGAACATGGGATTAAACATTCTGTGATGTACATTCTCTAATGTAACACATGTGACATTGTATGACCAGGATGTGGATTATCTTGAAGTGCCGGACTACTTTTTCTGTATAAAATTGAGTATAATCTAAAATAGGGAGTCACTCATTTTGTGTCTGTTTAATTCTTTGCCTCAGTTGAAGTGCTTCAGTTTTAAGGCCTTGGACAGGAGAAGGTCATTATTGACCTCTCAAGGCATCTGATAACCTAACCCAGTAGAGATGAGGGTCTCTCACTGTTTGACTAGCGGTAAGACTGTTTATCTGAAGGTGTCACGATCGCCGGTAAGAGAGGACCAATGCGCAGCGTCGAATGCAAACATATTTATTAACACTGAAGGAAACACGACCAAAACAACAAACGATACGTGACAGTACACGGTCAAACATAACCAGACTTGAAACAAAATCCCACAAACACGAAAGAAAAACCGACTGTTTAAATATGGCTCCCAATCAGAGACAACCAGCTGACAGCTGACACTCGTTGCCTCTGATTGGGAGTCACTCAGGCCAACATAGAAATAATCAAACTAGACCCACAACCTACAACACAAAACATAGAAACTAACACCCTGGCTCAACATAAGAGAGTCCCCTGAACCAGGGTGTGACAGTATCCCCCCCTAAAGGCGCGGACTCCGACCGCGCCAACCACACACAACAGGGGAGGGACCGGGTGGGCACTCCGCCTAGGCGGCGGATCCGGCTCCGGGCATGATCCCAACTCGCTCTCTAACCCCCCAAAGTACCCCTGGTCCGGTCTGGCCCTGCTGACCGGAGCTGGACTGCACACTGGTGGAGCGGATTGCTCTAGCTCCGGCGTAACGCATCTGACCGGCGCCGGACCAGGCACCAGTGGAACAGGCACGTGCCGTGCCGGACCGACGACGCACACCACTGGCTTGGTGTGGGGAACAGGCACGGGCCGTGCTGAACTGACGACGCACACCACTGGCTTGGTGTGGGGAGCAGGAGCGGGCCGGACAGGGCTGACGAAACGCACCACAGACTTGGTGCGGGGAGCAGGAACGCGCCGGACTGGGCTGGCGACGCGCACCACAGACTTGGTGCGGGGAGCAGGAACGGGCCGGACAGGGCTGACGAAACGCACCACAGACTTGGTGCGGGGAGCAGGAACAGGCCGGACCGTACTGGGGACACACACCACTGGTCCTACGCCGGGATCTGGAATGGGCCGGACCGGACTGGTAACACACCCCAGTACCTCTCGCCGTGCCTCTACACCTTCCACCCCCTCTTCGGCCAGTGGCCCCCGTAACCTGGCGGCCTCCTCTGCCAACCCGCTGGACCGCTCTATCGCGGCCTCCTGCTGCCCCGACGTCTTGAGCCCCCCCCCTAAAAATGTTCTGGGGGTCTTTCCTCCCCGTGGGCCAGGCCTCTATAGTTCTCGCCCAACTCTCGCTCTTCTGCTTCCAACTCCCGCTATTCAGCTCCTCAATTGGCTTGACCCAGTCGAAACTCCTCCTCCATTGTTCCCAAGTCCACTCTCTCCGCTCTTCAATCGGCTTGACCCAGTCGAGGCTGCCACGGAGATCTGCTAGGGATTTCGCTGGCGATGGCTCCTCGACTGGCTGCTTGGTCCAGTTGTGGTGGGATTTTCTGTCACGATCGCCGGTAAGAGAGGACCAATGCCCAGCGTCGAATGCAAACATATTTATTAACACTGAAGGAAACACGACCAAAACAACAAACGATACGTGACAGTACACGGTCAAACATAACCAGACTTGAAACAAAATCCCACAAACACGAAAGAAAAACCGACTGTTTAAATATGGCTCGCAATCAGAGACAACCAGCTGACAGCTGACACTCGTTACCTCTGATTGGGAGTCACTCAGGCCAACATAGAAATAATCAAACTAGACCCACAACCTACAACACAAAACATAGAAACTAACACCCTGGCTCAACATAAGAGAGTCCCCCGAGCCAGGGCGTGACAGTATCCCCCCCTAAAGGCGCGGACTCCGACCGCGCCAACCACACACAACAGGGGAGGGACCGGGTGGGCACTCCGCCTAGGCGGCGGATCCGGCTCCGGGCATGATCCCCACTCGCTCTCTAACCCCCCAAAGTACCCCTGGTCCGGTCTGGCCCTGCTGACCGGAGCTGGACTGCACACTGGTGGAGCGGATTGCTCTAGCTCCGGCGTAACGCATCTGACCGGCGCCGGACCAGGCACCAGTGGAACAGGCACGTGCCGTGCCGGACCGACGACGCACACCACTGGCTTGGTGTGGGGAACAGGCACGGGCCGTGCTGAACTGACGACGCACACCACTGGTTTGGTGTGGGGAGCAGGAGCGGGCCGGATAGGGCTGACGAAACGCACCACAGACTTGGTGCGGGGAGCAGGAACACGCCGGACTGGGCTGGCGACGCACACCACAGACTTGGTGCGGGGAGCAGGAACGGGCCGGACAGGGCTGACGAAACGCACCACAGACTTGGTGCGGGGAGCAGGAACGGGCCAGACAGGGCTGACGAAACGCACCACAGACTTGGTGCGGAGAGCAGGAACGGGCCGGACTGGGCTGGCGACGCGCACCACAGACTTGGTGCGGGGAGCAGGAACGGGCCGGACAGGGCTGACGAAACGCACCACAGACTTGGTGCGGGGAGCAGGAACGGGCCGGACCGTACTGGGGACACACACCACTGGTCCTACGCCGGGATCTGGAATGGGCCGGACCGGACTGGTAACACACCCCAGTACCTCTCGCCGTGCCTCTACACCTTCCACCCCCTCTTCGGCCAGTGGCCCCCGTAACCTGGCGGCCTCCTCTGCCAACCCGCTGGACCGCTCTATCGCGGCCTCCTGCTGCCCCGACGTCGTGAGCCCCCCCCTAAAACATTTCTGGGGGTCTCTCCTCCCCGTGGGCCAGGCCTCTATAGTTCTCGCCCAACTCTCGCTCTTCTGCTTCCAACTCCCGCTATTCAGCTCCTCAATTGGCTTGACCCAGTCAAAACTCCTCCTCCATTGTTCCCAAGTCCACTCTCTCCGCTCTTCAATCGGCTTGACCCAGTCGAGGCTGCCACGGAGATCTGCTAGGGATTTCGCTGGCGATGGCTCCTCGACTGGCTGCTTGGTCCAGTTGTGGTGGGATTTTCTGTCACGATCGCCGGTAAGAGAGGACCAATGCCCAGCGTCGAATGCAAACATATTTATTAACACTGAAGGAAACACGACCAAAACAACAAACGATACGTGACAGTACACGGTCAAACATAACCAGACTTGAAACAAAATCCCACAAACACGAAAGAAAAACCGACTGTTTAAATATGGCTCGCAATCAGAGACAACCAGCTGACAGCTGACACTCGTTACCTCTGATTGGGAGTCACTCAGGCCAACATAGAAATAATCAAACTAGACCCACAACCTACAACACAAAACATAGAAACTAACACCCTGGCTCAACATAAGAGAGTCCCCTGAACCAGGGCGTGACAGTATCCCCCCCTAAAGGCGCGGACTCCGACCGCGCCAACCACACACAACAGGGGAGGGACCGGGTGGGCACTCCGCCTAGGCGGCGGATCCGGCTCCGGGCATGATCCCAACTCGCTCTCTAACCCCCCAAAGTACCCCTGGTCCGGTCTGGCCCTGCTGACCGGAGCTGGACTGCACACTGGTGGAGCGGATTGCTCTAGCTCCGGCGTAACGCATCTGACCGGCGCCGGACCAGGCACCAGTGGAACAGGCACGTGCCGTGCCGGACCGACGACGCACACCACTGGCTTGGTGTGGGGAACAGGCACGGGCCGTGCTGAACTGACGACGCACACCACTGGCTTGGTGTGGGGAGCAGGAGCGGGCCGGACAGGGCTGATGAAACGCACCACAGACTTGGTGCGGGGAGCAGGAACGCGCCGGACTGGGCTGGCGACGCGCACCACAGACTTGGTGCGGGGAGCAGGAACGGGCCGGACAGGGCTGACGAAACGCACCACAGACTTGGTGCGGGGAGCAGGAACGGGCCGGACAGGAATGACGAAACGCACCACAGACTTGGTGCGGAGAGCAGGAACGGGCCGGACTGGGCTGGCGACGCGCACCACAGACTTGGTGCGGGGAGCAGGAACGGGCCGGACAGGGCTGACGAAACGCACCACAGACTTGGTGCGGGGAGCAGGAACAGGCCGGACCGTACTGGGGACACACACCACTGGTCCTACGCCGGGATCTGGAATGGGCCGGACCGGACTGGTAACACACCCCAGTACCTCTCGCCGTGCCTCTACACCTTCCACCCCCTCTTCGGCCAGTGGCCCCCGTAACCTGGCGGCCTCCTCTGCCAACCCGCTGGACCGCTCTATCGCGGCCTCCTGCTGCCCCGACGTCTTGAGCCCCCCCCTAAAAATGTTCTGGGGGTCTCTCCTCCCCGTGGGCCAGGCCTCTATAGTTCTCGCCCAACTCTCGCTCTTCTGCTTTCAACTCCCGCTATTCAGCTCCTCAATTGGCTTGACCCAGTCGAAACTCCTCCTCCATTGTTCCCAAGTCCACTCTCTCCGCTCTTCAATCGGCTTGACCCAGTCGAGGCTGCCACGGAGATCTGCTAG